TATATTACACGAAATAATAATACAAGATGTGGAAGGTGTGAGTATGACTGTCAGTCTGGTTTGGAGTGAACTACTATCGGCTCGACTCGATTCGACCCTCTCTCTTGAGAGGCGTAGTATACATAGTGTTAGGAAGAGTTCATTCTCTAAATATAGGTAAGGACCCATGACAATATTCGAGGTACTTACAAGGAATTTTTTTACAATTTAAAAAAAAAATCTGTTTTTGGCTTTTTTATCGAGATGAGCGCGAATGTAGACCCCGCACATACAAATACCTCACCCGATTCACCCACCTTTTGGGGGTGGGATGATCGAAAAAGATCAACCCAATCGGATTGCAATTGATGGGGGCCTTGTTCTGGAAGAATTTGGTGTGTATTTTACTAAATATAAATTCTTTTTATTTTAGGATGAATTAACGGAAAAGATCCCCTTGTTTTGCTTTGTTTGCTGTTCTTTAGCTAACATTATAGATATATTTCAAAAATAGTTATGAAGGAGCTTCTAACACATGTAATATACATACATACATATATATATATATATATATATATATATATATATATATATATATATATAATTCTGGAAAGACGATATATAAATGCTTATATATCAAGAATAATTTTAAGAAATCTGTGAGGAAATGGAATACGTTTTCCTGTGACGCGTTATCTTCTTTAGGGCTTCACTGAGCTAAAGTGATATTTACGCTGATGCGACTACACGTGCGCACAAAGGAAATGGGGCGCTGAGAATTTTGAATTTAAAATAATATCTTTTGACTATATAATCTAGCCGATTTAATTTTCTTACTAAAAATCCGACATTGTAATAACAGAAGATCTGCCAAGAAAGAAGAAATGTTGTAAGAATCTGTATGTACATATACTGTGGATGATTTAGCGATTAAAGCACTTTCTATATGCTCTTAGTAAATTAATTTTTCTTTTAATTAGAGTAGGATTTTTTTAAAATCAAATTATATTCAGACACATGTTGAGTAACAAATGCGTTGTTTATTGTTTTGTAAAAGATCTCTTTTGTGTTCACATAATATCATTTAAATTCCTTTAAGTTTCTCCTGTGTATTCCTTGTAGCAACTCTTACAGGTGACAGAGTAAATTCCTCCTTCAAGTTTTAGTTTATTATTATTTTGCTTTTTGTATTAATTAAGTGTTTCATTGTCTTAGAAGAAACACATTTTATATTAATCTTAGATAAATTCTTTTCAATTCTAGTTCTGACAGAGTTGGTTAGGTAGAACAATATATTTTGGTTCGTTTGGTCTTTCAGAAAGGTCCGCTTTGAAATCTTTATCCAAACACTGTTTTTGTTTAAAGAATGGTAATTAAATTTAAATCAAAATTATGGTCGGACTCATTATGGTGAATGACTAATGTATTGAGTGTTGTTTTGCAAAATAACCCTTTTATGTTCATATGATCTTTTATTTAACATCCTTGAGGTTTCTCCTATGTATTACTTGTGGCAATCATTACCGGTGATAGAGTAAATTTCTCCTTCAAGTTTTGGTTTATTATTATTTTGTTTTGTATTAAGACTTTTATTGGCTTACAAGTGTTGTAATAAATTTTATGTTCTTTCCATTGTAGTTGTGATAGAGTCGGTGTGTGAATAATATATTTTGATTCATTGGGTTTGCCAGAAATGTCGACTCTTCTATTTTGAAATATTTTACGAGTCTTTTTTTCGCATTGCATATGAAAAGATGCTGTCTGTTAAAATTTATAAATTGCATATGAAAAGATACTGTCTGTTAAATAAATTGCATATGAAAAGATACTGTCCGTTAAATAAATTGCATATGAAAAGATACTGTCTGTTAAAATTTATAAATTCTTTCTTTTGAAAATCCTTTTAATTGGGTATTGAAGGAGTTTAAAAGGATTTTCAATGTATTTCTCCTCTTCTTGCTAATCTTGAGGTCTACCTGTTCTGAGTGCTCTTAAATAGAATCCGATCATTTTTCCGGATTTTATTTTGTTGGTATGGTGAGAATAGAAATTTTCGATGAAAATCAACTAATAAAAAACTCGTATTCGTTGTCTTAAGTCGTAGTTGGCAGCATAATGAAACATGCCAACCGCGAGATAACACAGAGATGGCAGTCAATATGTTTAAATGGCATCAGAGGGAGAAAATGACAGCAGAATATTCAACGGCTATCGCATATCACTCACATAATGGATACATTAAGATGGCCAGATTGTACTCCTTGATCAAACTGAAAACTTTTCCGTACCCTCTCATACGGTATTTCGCTACGAAATATATGTTTCTTTGTCTAATATGTAAAGTTCAATTTTCCTTTCTGTGTGTGTTCCCGCTGGAATGGCTAAAAAATTAAAACCGTAACATTAAATAATTACAATTTATGTCTATCTTCATGTGGTTCCTACTTCATGGAGTTAAATAAACATGTCACCTAAAATAGTTATGGTAACAGAGCCGTTTCCTTATAAGGAAACAATCTGCATTCATTGACCGAGAAGTCTGTACTACTTTCTGTTAAAATTTATAAATTCTTTCTCTTGAAACAATTTTTCAGGAAAATAAGTTCTCAAATTTACTGTTATCGCTATTGATAGGAGTTTCCTTGGTAACCTTTTATTTGAAGTAGTGTGGAATGTCAGCATCTTGATTATTTCATTATTTACATTATTCGGACTATTTTCCTCATCTTTGTCGCCATATTTATTACAACGTTTCGGCCGTTGTACGCTCCGGCCTTCTTCAGGTGGTTGGAATGTCGAAGTGAACCCTTATTTCGCTCACTGGGGTAGACTGTTCTAGTTCCACGTGCCATGTTTAATGGATGTCACTTACCAGTTATCTCCTGTTAATTCCCCTCTCCGAGTTCTCCACTGCCTTAACCGGATAATGAACTCACTAACTTTGGGTCCTGTCACTGGATCTAACTAACGCCTTTATCCACTGCGCCATGTGTCCTTGACTATGAATTTCTGGGTATTATAAACCTAATGTCTTCAGCATAATTTTTTTACCAGTGCTCATATTGCAATTTTGGGGGTTATTATTGTTGCATGTTTTCACCAGAGCTCATATTGCAATTTTTGTTGTTATTGCTTTTCTCTGCGAAGTGTCGTCCAGCTTTTGAAGGTTATCCTGATGTTATATGAACGCAGATCCTTTGTATTTTCTATGTTAACCCCTTCACATAAGGCAGGACAACCTTCAAAAGCTTGATGACACTTCGCATATATCTCTCCCGAGTAAGAACCCCCCCCCCGCCATAGAGAAGAACATGACTAAAGACTAATGTGTACGCTATCTCATGCAGCGGAGGAAAGAAATATAAAGGGGAGACAGGCCGCCCCCTCAAGGTAAGGCTTCAAGAACACCAGAAAGCTGTCACACAAAGGGAAGTGGAAAAATCAGGCGTGGCTAACCACATATGGAGAGAGAAGGGAGATCACCGCCCTCTGTGGGATCAGGTTGAGATCATAGACAAGGAACACCATTGGAAAATTCGTAAACTTAAGAAATCAGCACATATGCTAGGCCACAAAAATCTCCTGAGTCGACCAAGCATAGAAATGAATACAATATGGGAACCAGTAATAAGGAATGCCAGAGAAAAGCGATAATAACAACAAAAATTGCAATATGGGCTCTGGTAAAAACATGAAATAATAATAGCAAAACTTGCAATATGAGCACTGGTAAAAAAAATTATGCTTCAGCATAACCCCAAAATCATCATACGCAGATGTTCTCAAGGACACGTGGTACAGTGGATAAAGACGTTAGTTAGATCCAGTGACAGAACCCAAAGAGTGTGAGTTCAATACCCGGTTAAGGCTGTGGAGAACTTAGAGAGGGGAATAAACAGGAGATAACTGATAACTGACATCCATTAAACATGGCACGTGGAACTAGAACAGTCTACTCCAGTGAGCAAAATAAAGGGTTCAGTTCGACATTTCAACCACCTGAAGAAGGCCAGAGCGTACAACGGCCGAAACTCTGTAATAAATATGGCGACAATTATAAGGACAATAGTCCGAATAATGTAAATAATGCGCATAATACCTCATCTCAGAAATATAGACTGATATTAATTAACCCGTTCAGATATTGAATTATTGTCTCTTCGAGTTTCATGTGATATCCATTTTAATTGTTGCTGTTGTTGAAAGTCCTCAAGTGATGTGGTTTCTGTTATTTGTTACAGTAACATTTTGCGATTTTGTTGCTCCAGTCCACGCCTCGCACTGATCTACAAGGATGAATTGTCTGAAGCCATTTTTAATCATTAATCTGAGAAAGGGGTAGTGGAAAACTGACAGTTTAGATATTTCTGAATGAGTCTGTCGACATACCAGACATTAATAAGAAAGTCTCCATCTGACGAGCCTATTTGAGAACACAACTTGAGTTGGTAACACTTCATAATAGACAGCGGACTCGCGAAAACCTATTTTTCTTAAAAATCGTTTTAATAGAAATATTTTATAAATTTTAACCCAAAGTATACCTGATCCTTCGATCAAAGAAGGCCAAAAGATTCCATATAAGTAATCGCCTATTATTGCCATTAACATTGAGCCAAACAACAGAGTTACAAAATGTTTTGATAATTTAGAAGTACATTAAATTGTAACGTTACTCAAATAATGCTTATATTTTTTGTAAGGTACACTTAATGTAACTTTTATCGGAAACGAAAAACAATTTCTTTTGTCGAAGCGTTTGGAGAATTGACAAAATCTAAACAAGTCTAAATGAATCAATTAAAATGCTTTTGTGTCAGTAGAGCTTGTTACCACACACCTCAGCAGAGAATACGACGGGTTTGAGACACAATGATACTGGCAAATGATTACACTCCTATTTAATCTTTAGTAAATGTTAATTGGGTTTGACCGATCCTGTTGAGAAGAACGAACAAAAAGACTGGCATGGGTCAAGGCTGCGGATAAAGTCTTGAATTTTGTATTTGAATTGATCATGCTTACATGACAGGGAGATAGATAGATATGAATAGATTGAGAGAGATAGATATGAATAGACTGAGACAGGCGGAAAAACAGATAGATAGATAGAGAGATAGATAGATAGATAGATAGATAGATGAATGAATAGATCCGCAAAAAAAAGCCTTAAATGAATTGATCATGCTTACATGACAGGAAGATAGATAGATATGAATAGATTGAGAGAGATAGATATGAATAGACTGAGACAGGCGGAAAAAACAGATACATAGATAGATAGATAGATAGATAGATAGATAGATAGATAGATAGATAGATAGATCCGCAAAAAAAGCCTTAAATGAATTGATCATGCTTACATGACAGGAAGATAGATAGATATGAATAGATTGGGATAGATAGATATGAATAGACTGAGACAGGCGGAAAAACAGATAGATAGATAGATAGATAGATAGATAGATAGATATGAACAAACGGAGATAGATAGATAGATAGATAGATAGATAGATAGATAGATAGATAGATAGATAGATAGATACGCAAAAAAAGCCTTAAATGCTATTCAAAGTAGAGTGTTACTGAGGTGTTGGGTATTGACATACGGGGGAGGAAGTCCTAAATAAACAGTATGCGAATAGGGAGGATATATAAAGATTGATATTTTAGTGTTCAGGAAATCATATCGGCAGAAGACAGTTCTATGAAGCAACGGTTCTTAGGAAGGAGCTGTCTGTGTGAAACTTCCATGTTACAAGTGGAATACAAAGAGAACGTGGCTGATCTGACGCTGATGACGTATCATGGAGGTTCTTAGATGTAAAGCTCTCAACTAGTAGAAAGTATTTATAAAGAATAAATGGTTGCTGTTTCGGTCCACACCAACCGGCGCGTTTTCTTTAATATGACTTTCAGCTACCCTGTTTGGTAAATGTCAATTACATTATGAAAAAAAAAAGTCTACTCAAATATGTGTCCCCTCTAAATATAACTTTTATATTAATAATATGTACAGTGTAACCTGGATATAAGTGACCCGGATATAAGTGACCCGGATATAAGAGAAACCCGGATATAAGAGAAACCCTGATATAAGAGAAACCCGGATATAAGAGAGATCTTCTCCAGTCCCAAATTAGAGCCTGTGTTAATGTATATAAAATAGACCAAACCCGAATATGAGAAACCCGGATATAAGAGACTTCTCCGGTCCCGACAACTCTCTTACATCCGGGTTACACTGTACTAGTTTTAATCCATTCAAATTTCACGTTTTTCCTACATCAAATTTCCGATGAAGTTAATGATTGAATAAGCTCATGGCGAGGTCTACTACAATAAAATATCTGTAGAAATTCCCCTTTCGCACTGTTTTAAATTTCAGCTTAACAACCATAACAAAATATAAATAAATATGAATGGAAGGAAGTAAAAATGAAAAAAAATTGAAATTAACAATTTTCCATTTCACTGAAACAGACATTAAACACTTTTATTATCCATTCTTTTTTCCATTTTCTCACTGAAACCAAGTAGTGTCTTTGATGTTTTTTTCTTCTCATGCGATTAAAAGGGAATTATTCATTATTTATGAGGTATTAACAGACGGTAAAACTTTCATCTTTCTTTCTTTCTTTTTCATTGAAACCAAGTAGCGTGTCTAATATGTCTTGTCTTTCCACTCGATCAAAACGGAACAATCCATTATGAGCTATTAGCAGGGAGTAAAGGTCGTGCAAATTAACGAAGGGAAAGACAAGTACAATTGTTATGAGATACACGTATGTGTGTGTGCGCGCGCGTGTGTGTGTGTGCGCGCGTGCGTATACGCGTATGCGTTCCTTGATAGATGGGGACTGTGTAGGGAAGCAGTTGGTGATAAACAAGGCAGTAAACATCGTTAGATAAACGAAAAGAATGCAAAGCCTAATGTCGATTCCTGGGTGTCCTTGTCATTTGCTGAGTTTTATTCTCCTCCTCCTCCTCTTCCAAAATCTGTTTACGTCGAGAGAGGTGAACAGTGATTATATCTTCTATTTAGAATCGGTCAATTCATTTGACCTTTGCTCTCGCTAAAAACTGGGCCAAACCTCCGCCATTATTTGGTCGACATGGCGTCATAGGAATTCGTGGCTGGTTCTCTATGAATTTTCATCAAATGAAATACAGGATAATTTCGAAAAGTATTTTTTTTCCTTTCCTTTCTCTTTTTCCCTTTAACATTTTAAGCTTTTATCATTATTATTATTATTATTATTAATATTATTATCTTTTTGTATTTGTCGAGTAATTTTGTTTAATTCTTTTGTTTAGATAACGCTTTATCTTACTTCAATTTCCCCGATTCTTTCTTTCTTTCTTTCTTTTTTTCTTTCTTTCTTTCTTTCTTTTCTTTTTTCTTTCTTTCTTTCTTTCTTTCAGTTTCCTCGATTTTCTTTCTTTCTTTCTTTCTTTCTTTCTTTTTTCTTTCTTTCTTTCTTTTTTCCTTTTTCTTTCTTCTTTCTTTTTTTTTCTTTCCTTTCCTTTCTTTCTTTTTTCTTTCTTTCTTTTCTTTTTTTCTTTCTTTCTTTTTTCTTTCAATTTGATTCTTTTTTTCTTTTCTTTTCTTTCTTTCTTTTCCTTTCAATTCTTTCTTTCTTTCTTTCGTTTCTTTCTTTTCCAAGTTCCTTTCTTTCTTTCTTTCTTTCTTTCTTTCTTCCCACAGTTTCCTCGGTTCTTTCTTTCTTTCTTTCTTTCTTTCTTTCTTTCTTTCACAGTTCCTCGATTGTTTCTTTCTTTCTTTCTTTCTTTCTTTCTTTCTTTCACAGTTCCTCGATTCTTTCTTTCTTTCTTTCTTTCTTTCTTTCTTTCTTTCTTTCTTTCTTTCACAGTTCCTCGATTGTTTCTTTCTTTCTTTCTTTCTTTCTTTCTTTCTTTCACAGTTCTTTTTGTTTCTTTCCTTTTTTTCTTTCTTTCTTTTCCTTCAATTCTTTTCTTTTTTTTCTTTCCTCATTCTTTCTTTCTTTCCTCCTTTTCTTTCTTTCTTTTTTCTTTCTTTCTTCTTTCTTTCTTTCTTTCTTTCTTTCTTTCTTTCTTTCACAGTTCCTCGATTGTTTCTTTCTTTCTTTCTTTCTTTCTTTCTTTCTTTCACAGTTCCTCGATTGTTTCTTTCTTTCTTTCTTTCTTTCTTTCTTTCTTTCTTTCTTTCTTTCTTTCTTTCTTTCTTTCTTTTTCTTTTTCCTCGACAGTTCCTCGATTGTTTTTTCTTACTTTCTTTTTCTTTTCTTTCTTTCTTTCTTTCTTTCTTTCTTTCACAGTTTCGATTGTTTCTTTCTTTCTTTCTTTTCTTTTCTTTCTTTTCTTTCTTTCTTTCTTCCTCGATTGTTTTTTCTTTCTTTCTTTTTCTTTCTTTCTTTCTTTTCTTTCTTTCTTTTTCTTTTCTTTTCTTTCTTTTTTTCCACAGTTCCTTCTTTGTTTCTTTCTTTCTTTCTTTCTTTTTTTTTCTTTCTTTCTTTCTTTCTTTCACAGTTTCCTCGATGTTTCTTTCTTTCTTTCTTTCTTTCTTTTCTTTCTTTTCTTTCTTTCTTCTTTCTTTCTTTCTTTTCTTTCTTTCACAGTCTTTCTTTCACAGTTCCTCGATTGTTTCTTTTTTCTTTCTTTTCTTTCTTTCTTTCTTTCTTCTGGTTTCCTTTTTTTCTTTCTTTCTTTCTTTCTTTCACAGTTCCTCGATTGTTTCTTTCTTTTTCTTTTCCACAGTTTCTTTCTTTCTTTCTTTCTTTTTTTCTTTCTTTTTTCTTTTCTTTCTTTCTTTCTTTCTTTTTCTTTCTTTCTTTTCTTTCTTTCTTTCACGGTTCCTCGATTGTTTCTTTCTTTCTTTTCTTTCTTTCTTTGCTTCAATTCCTCGATTTTTTTTCTTTCTTTTTTCTTTTCTTTTTTTCCTTTCTTTCTTTCTTTTCTTTCTTTCTTTCACAGTTCCTCGATTGTTTCTTTCTTTCTTTCTTTCTTTCTTTCTTTCTTTCTTCCACTTTCTTTTTCTTTCTTTCTCTTTTTTCTTTCTTTTCTTTCTTTCTTTTCTTTCTTTTTTCTTTCTTTTGTTTCTTTTTCTTTCTTTCTTTCTTTCTTTCCTTTCAGTTCCTCGATTCTTTTTCTTTCTTTTCTTTTCTTTTCTTTCACAGTTCCTCGATTGTTTCTTTCTTTCTTTCTTTCTTTCTTTCTTTCTTTTTTTCTTTCTCATTCTTTCTTTCTTTCTTTCTTTTTTCTTTCTTTTCACACCTTTTGTTTCTTTTCTTTCTTTTCTTTCTTTCTTTTCTTTCTTTTCTTTCTTTCACAGTTTCCTCTTTCAGTCTTTTCTTTCTTTCTTTCTTTCTTTCTTTCTTTCTTTCACAGTTCTCAATTTTTCTTTTTCTTTTTTCTTTCTTTCTTCTCAGTTCCTCGGTGTGTTTCTTTCTTTCTTTCTTTTCTTTCTTTTTTCTTTCTTTTCCTCGATTCTTTTTTCTTTCTTTTCTTTCTTTCTTTCTTTTTCATTCCTGTTTCTTTCTTTCCCTTTCTTTCTTTCTTTCCACAGTTCCCTTTCTTTCTTTCTTTTTTTCTTTCTTTTCTTTCTTTCTTTCAACCTCTTTTTTTTCTTTCTTTCTTTTCTTTCTTTCTTTCTTTTTCCCAGTTCCTCGATTCTTTCTTTCTTTCTTTCTTTCTTTCTTTCTTTCTTTCTTTCCTCAGTTCCTCAATTTGGCTTTCTTTCTTTCTTTCTTTCTTTCTTTCTTTCTTTTCATTCCTCGATTTTTCTTTTCTTGTCCTCAATTTTTCTTTTCTTCATTCCTCGATCTTGTTTCTTTCTCTCCTTTTCTTTCTCACAGTTCCTCGATTGTTTCTTTCTTTCTTTTCTTTCTTTCTTCCATTTTTCTTTCTTCTTTCTTTCTTTCTTTTTCCTTCTTTCTTTCTGTTTTCCTCTAGATTTTTTTTATTTCTTTTTTTTCTTTTCTTTTCTTTCTTTCTTTTCTTTCTTTCTTTCTTTTTCACAGTTCCTCGATTCTTTCTTTCTTTCTTTCTTTCTTTCTTTTTTCCCTCAGTTCTTTTCTTTCTTTTCTTTTCTTTTTCTTTCTTTTTCTTTTTCAGTTCCTCAGATCTTTCTTTCTTTCTTTCTTTTTCTTTCTTTCTTTCTTTCTTTTTTTCCATTTTCTTCTTTCTTTCTTTTCTTTCTTTCCACAGTTCTTGATAGATTTCTTTCTTTTTCTTTCTTTTTTTTTTTTCACAGTTTTCTTTTCTTTCTTTCTTTCTTTTCCCCCCTTAATTCTTCGTTTTCTTTCTTTCTTTCTTTCTTTCTTTCACAGTCCTCATTGTTTCTTTCTTCATTTTTTCTTTTCTTCAATTTTTCTTTCTTTCTTTCTTTTCTTTCTTTCCCAGTTCCTCGCTTTCTTTCTTTCTTTCTTTTTTCTTTCTTTCTTTCTTTTCTTCATACAGTTCCTCGATTGTTTCTTTTTTTTTGCTTTTCTTTCTTTCTTTCTTTTCTTTCTTCTGGTTCCTCGATTGTTTTTTCTTTTTTCTTTCTTTCTTTCTTTCACACAGTTCCTCGTTTTCTTTCTTTCTTTCTCTTTCTTCTTTCTTTCTTTCACAGTTTCCTCGATTTCGTTTCTTTCTTTCTTTCTTTCTTTCTTTCTTTCACAGTTCCTCGATTGTTTCTTTCTTTCTTTCTTTCTTTCTTTCTTTCTTTCTTTCACAGTTCCTCGATTCTTTCTTTCTTTCTTTCTTTCTTTCTTTCTTTCACAGTTCCTCGATTGTTTCTTTCTTTCTTTCTTTCTTTCTTTCTTTCTTTTCCTCGGTGATCCTTCTTTCTTTCTTTCTTTTCTTTCTTTCTTTCTTTCCATTTCTCGATTATTTCTTTCTTTCTTTTTTTCTTTCTTTCTTTCACAGTTCCTCGATTTTTTCTTTCCTTTTGTTCTTTCTTCTTTCCAAGTTTTTTTTTCTTCTTTCTTTCTTTCACAGTTCCTTTCTTTCTTTTCTTCTTTTCCTCTCACTTCAAATTTCTTTTGATATTTTTTTTCATTCTTCTTTCAATTTTTTTGTTCCTTTTTTAAATTTTTTTTTTCCCTTTCAGTTTTTTCTTTTCTTTCTTTCTTTCTTTTTTCTTTCTTTCTTTTCTTTCATTTTTTTCACTTCACTGATATATCTTTCTTTTCATTTTTCTTCCCCAATTCATTCACCTTTTCTCAAATTTTTTTTCCTCAATTTTTTCTTTTCTTTCTTTCTTTCTTTTCTTTCTCTCTCACTTCGTCCAATTCATTCATTTTTCTTTTTTAAGATTTCTTTCTTTCCCCAGTTCATTTTTCCTTTTTTTCTTTTTTTTCGTTTCCATTTTTCTTTTTCCTTTCTCTCCTCACAATCCATTTCCTTTTCCCCATTTAAACCTTTATTTTATTTGTTTCAATTTTTCTTTTCTTCTTTCTCTCTTATCTTTTTCCTTTCTTTCCTTTCTCTTTTCCTAGCTTTCCTGCATTTTTTTTCCTTTTCTGTTTTTATTTTTTTTTTTTTTTTCTTTTCCATCATTTTTAATTCATTTCTCATCTTTAAGTCCCATCTTCATTTTCATTTCTTTCTTTCTAGTTTAATTCATTCTCTCTTCGCTTCTTCTTTTCTTTTTCTTTCTTTTAATCTTGATAGATTTCCTGCTTTACTTGTTAATATTTCTGTTTTTTTTTTCTCTATTCTATCATTTTCCCCCTTACTCTTCTTCGTCAGGACTTCGGTGATTATGCCTCTCCACAACTTCATGTTCTTTGTAGAGCTTAATAAGTTTTTTTCTTTTTGTTATCACTCCTAATCTCAGTTCTGTAAACCATTTTCTCGAGTTCTTTAGGTAGGTTATTTGCTGTTTCTCTCCGTCCCTCCTGTCAGTGTCACATTCTCCAAGCTTTCTTTTCTCATCTTGCATCCTTCTTCTAAATATAATTGTCCGTTTTATTTCCGTTTTCCCTGTGTCGTTGCTCATATGTTCAGTCCATCAGTCATTCTCTGCCATACTGGATTGATATTACGTAACAGTTCAGCACGTTTCCCATTGGCCCTAACGATATTTACTCCGTTTCTTCAAATTTTGTTAGTCGATCACCGAAATTAAATGGCTTCAAGCCCGGCCAGTACTTAGGTGCAGAACATTTTGTTTCTTGGGAACAACGTATAAAATCCGAACTATGTTCTGGCTTTAAATAACCTCCATCAGATTTAAAAGCTGTAAAAAATCATTTCATCAATCAATCAATCAACAAAATACATTGCTAAGCTTTTGGAAGACGTATGTCTTTACTGCAATACTGCTTCGGATTTCGGTGACACACTTTTCTTTTTCTGTTAAAACACTTCCCAGATACTTAAATGTTCGCGTCCTGGGTAAGACGATAAACTACATCCGGCAGCAAGGCCTCTGATGAGGAGGTTTTGTGGAGCGTGGAACCACCTCTTAATTGCTGGTTTTCCCTGGTCCACCTTGAAGCGGGGTGGTAGCACCTGTTAGGGTCCCAGCTATGGGAAAATAGTTAGCCCCCAAACTTGGGTCAAAACACTATGAAAGTATAAAAATAGGTTTCCATACCAGAAATACATTTTTGTAAAAAATCTTTACCAGCAATACATTTTTGAAGAAAACTTATTACCAACAATAGATTATTACCAGCAATATATTTTTGAAAAAAAAACAAAAACAAAATATTATCAGCAATACATTTTTGATGGAAAAATATTACCAGCGATACTTAAAAAAAAAATTACTACCAGCAATAAAAACCTTGTCTGCATTAAATAACCCTATTTACATTATTCGGACTGTTGTCTTCATCTTTGTCACCATATTTATTACAACGTTTCGGCCGTTGTACGCTCCGGCCTTCTTCAGGTGGTTGGAATTTCGAACTGAACCCTTTATTAAGATCACTGGGATAGACTGTTCTAGTTCCACGTGCCATGTTTGATGGATGTCAGTTATCTCCTGTTATTTTCCCTCTGAAAGATCTCCACTGCCTTAACCGGGTATTGAACTCACACTCTTTGGGTCCTGTCACTGGATCTAACCAACGCCTTTATCCACTGTGCCATGTGTTCTCAAGGATATCCTCAGTGGATAAAGGCGTTAGTTAGATCCAGTGAAGGACCTAAAGAATGTGAGTTCAATACCCGGTTAAGGCTGTGTATTGAACTTTCAGAGGGAAATTAACAGGAGATAACTGACAACTGACATCCATTAAACATGGCACGTGGAACTAGAACAGTCTACCCCAGTGAGTGAAATAAAGGGTTCAGTTCGACATTCCAACCACCTGAAGAAGGCCAGAGCGTATAAGGGCCGAAACTTTGAATTAACAAAAATGAGGACAATAGTCTGAATAACGTAAATAGTGTACATAATACCTCACCTCAGAAATATAGACAGATATTAAAGAACCCATTCAGGTTGATATACTGTAAAACAAACCAAACCAAACCTTAAATGTTCGTTCACGCTTGATTCTGATGTTTTCAAATCATAGTTCATATTTTAGGCTGTTCTGTTTGCTGATAATCATGTTTTTCTTACAATTGACGTTTAGTGTTTTTTTTTTTTTTTTTTTGCTTTCCTTCGTAACTTTCTGTCGGAGTTCTTGGAGTTTCAGTATTTGCTTTCAATAACGTGTCATCTGCATATCTTATGGTATAAAGATAGTGACTGCCAATAATAAATCCTGGTAGGACTTATAATTCACTCTTGTCGTAAAATCCCCTGAGAAGACATGCTTATCTCACACCCCTTTCAATTTTTATATATTTATGGAATTCACTTCATCTTATTCTTCCTATTATTCATTCATTACTTCCTTCTGACTCTCTTCTTATTCTTTTATTCTCTTTACCCAAACTCCTTCTTTCGTTCGTTCATTCGTTCTTTTTAATTAATTTTCCTCCATTTAATTAATTTTATCTGCATCTTATATTTTTTTACAGTTCTTTCCTTCCTTCCTTCCTTTTCTTTAATTTCTGTTTCCTTCATTTTTAATTTTTTTTTTACACCTTCTACGTTTCGTCTTTCTTTCCTTCGTTTTTTCCTTCATTCCTTTCATTTTTATTTCTCTCTTTACTCACCTTTACCCACATTTTACTTTTGTTCGTCTTCGTTCGTTTGTTCGTTCATTCCTTCCTTCGTTCCTTTCTTCTTTGCCCTTTTCCCTCTCTTTAATTACATTACCTTCATTTTTCCTTTCTTTTTACAGCTTCTTCATTCCTTCCTTCACTCCTTTCTATCTTTCTTCCTTTCACATTTTTCTTTCCCTCTCTTTAATTTTCGTTTCCCTCATTTTTAATTTTTACAGATTCTTTCTTTCTTTCTTTCTTTCTTTCTTTCTTTCTTTCTTTCTATTTAATTACCGTTACCCACATTTTTCTTCTTTCTTTCTTTCTTTCTTTTCCAACTTTCTCTCTTTTTCTTTCCCATCATTCCCTGTAATTTCTTTCCTTACTTTTTTCTCCATGGCTCTTATTAGGCTTCAGAAATTCTTCGTTTCTTTCTAATCGATTAAAACTTCCCCAAACGTAAACACGTCGACTCACATTTAAGACGACCAAATATATCAACAAAATACTGAACATAGGCCTGCAAAAACAAAACTCGAACATTTCTATAACCACAGCCGTTTCTTCCTTCCTTCTCTTAGCACTAATATTTCATTTCACTAGTCACTCTGTCAACGCCATCTTTTCAGCACGGACTCGATTATTGATTCTGATTTTATTTTATGCCGCGCGAATATTTTTAGAATGTTTTCTTTTCTTTTATGATGAGCTTAATCGGAAGAAAGAAGCGATGTTTTCGTAATTTCTTGGGAATCTCGTTTCATAGATTTTTTTTTCTGTTTGAATTTGTTCGATTTGATTTTGTTGTTATGATGGTGGTGTTGTTATTGTTTTCTGTTGTTGTTGTTGTTGTTGTTCAACATGTCCTTTGAAATATCCAATCCAATTCTTTCATCGTTTCCTGCGACAATTACGTCACTGCCTGAGGTTGAAACCGAATGTGAAATCCTGCCAAATAATAATAATAATAACTTGCAGAGAAGATTTTATAACGAACGACTGTAATTTCACCGAACATCTTAAGGTACACATTCTGAAAAAATATGCAGAATCCACCGCGCGTTCAACCCTCAATTACATATGCAAATTACTAATGACCCACCATAGGGGAAATGAACTATTTGACAGGAGGATTCCATAAGAATTATACTAAACTATCTGATTAATTGCTCTTACTATCTAATCAGCTAACGAACAATTTAAAATTAGCAAGACCCCTTCATGTTACTTACCTTTCAGTTGCATTTCATTCGCTCTGTCGCGTTGATTATCAGTACAACCGTGTTTTCTCAAGACAAGCAAAGCTTGTACAAAGACTTCTTTTACGATAATTTTTATACAGGGTGAGAAATAACAAGGCAGTACTAAAAATAAGAGGTAGACGAGATAACTCTATAAATGGGCAGTGAAACAAGAACACTCTCGTAGATTGAATAAAGGGTTAATTTTAGAATTCCCAGATGGATATACACCTGATATGCACCCGATAAAGGCCGGCCAGCACAACAATGATGAGGACAATAGTCAAAATGTAAATAGTGTAAATAATGACAACCCTTAATCCTAGAAATTCAAACAAAATTTTTTTATACTTGACTGCAATTTTTACATATAACTTGAAAAATACAGTCGAAATATTGTTAAATATATTTAAACACTGACTTTCATTTCCTTTTTCTTTTCTTAAATCGCGTTCTTCTCAAAGTGTTGTACTACTACTACTACTACTACTAATAATAATAATAATAATTATTATTATTATTATTATTATCATCATCATTTGAAGAAATATACTACAAGAATTGGCTAAAGAAACAAGTTTAAAAATACAAATAACTTCACAATACCTGCAAAAGCGCTCTTTTGACAACAGTGAAAATATTTTAGCGATGCCTAAACATAAATAAGAGAGAAAGCGTAAAGCCAGACGTTACAGATGCATACACATTTTGGAATGGAAACTTGTATGCCGAAACGAAACACATTGAAAGACCAAAATATTTAACGAAATTGCTGAAAGATCTTCAGGAAATAGAAGAACGAAAAAGTATTGAGATGAATAAATATCATGAAATGGACAAAGTTCGACAATTATTTGAGACATTTTTTATGTTTATATGTTCTTTTTATAGATACAAATATTTAAATAAATGCTCTGTTTCTAATAAATAGTATTAGACATCATTTACCGGCCTGAATGTCCGAGAAATTTTCATAGAAAATATTCGTCCTCCGTCAGGAATCGAACCTGTATCCTATAAGGAACCGTCATATAGCCTGACGTGCTTTTACCGATTATCGGAGGACGCATTTATTTTGGAGACAGGAATTAACAGGAGATAACTGACAACTAACATCCATTAAACGTGGAACTAGAATAGTCTTGTCCCACTTAACAACAGGCTGTAGGTCATTACTAAGATCAGCTTCTAATTTGATCATATTAAGCTTAATTATTAATATTATTAAACGGTTACTCTCCTTTTCCATAGGTCCACACTTTTTTTCAATAGCTCCGGTTTTTTATTTACATTTTTTCCTTTCTTTTTCATGTTTTTCTCTGTTGAGAATTACTTGACCCTTTTGTTTGTTTAAACTTTGTTGTCTTCCTACTTTGGCCCGGTGAGTGTCAAATTCTCCAAGCCTTCTTTCCTCATATTGTGTCACAGAAATTCCATCTCTCATTGTCTAAGTACCCTTTTTGTTTCCTTAAACATTTTCTCGGTGTTCCAATTCTCCGCCCATATAATATTCGCATTTATCTCTTGCTTTGTGACTCAAATTTAATCTGTGAGTAAATTGTCCAGTATTCACTGACATATTATATCGTATTTCAGCAATCATTTCTTTCTGTTTGTTCCAGTCGCAATGAGAATATATATTTATTACATATAGTTCATATATATATATATAATTTTTATTTATAAAAAATAACATAAGTATGCTATAAAATCACAACAAAAAATTTTTGTAGTGATTTTATGGCATACTTATGTCATAATTTTTTTATAAATAATAATTATATCTGCTCTACTTTGTATTGAGCACTCTTTTAAGAATAGTAATTGTTGGTTATTGGAATTCATTCCGTATATACCAATTATATACTTGGTTATATATATATATATGTAAGCAAATGTAAATGGATATAAATCTGACAGAATGAAGAAAAACTTTGGAAAAAACAAACAAAAATCCTTAAATGCAATTGTGTTGTTTAAAATGAATGAATTGTCGACGTCTGACGTTTCGGTTTAATAAACCTTTTTCAAGACAATATTCATTACAATTCAGTTCAATTTAACAAAGACGATGAACATAAAAACAAGTCTTATCCAAAATTTTTATCTAAAATTTTTATGTGTATGCTTGTCGAGCATTAATCTCGCTAAAAAAGGGGAAATATTAAAGAAACCAGGTCTAGTATTCACCGTGCGTGAGATGGATATTATACCTGCTTCATAAATCCTCCTGAGATTTTTATTATGAAAATATTTTAATACTTTCACGTAATCGAAATCGAAATTATGATCTGCTTTAGTTGTGTGTACAACTAAAGCATTGTTAAAATTACCGAGACGAATATCTCGTTTATGTTCGAAAACACGAGATTTTACGGACCTACATGTTTCACCCACATATTTTAGGTCACAATTTTTGCATGATATTTGATAGATGCAAGCATCGGATGTAATATGTTGTCTGCTGGTGCTATTTAATAAACTACGGATAGTTCTAGTAGGTAATATAGTAGTTCTAATTTTTATAATCTCATAATCTAAATGCATTAAAAATTAGAACTACTTTTTTTGTTTGTTTTTTCCAAAGTTTTTCTTCATATATATATATATATATATATATATGTATGTATTGAGTTGTAGGATATGAGTTTGTAACCCTGTAAGTACTGCATATATATATATATATATATATATATATATATATATATATATATATGTGTGTGTGTGTGTGTGTGTGTGTGTGTGTAACTTTTACATTATATCATATAGAAGTAAATTATACAAAGAATTAATTAGTAATGTTAATGAGAACAATAGCGAAATCACTTCACTAACAATATTTAATGAGACATTAACTTACTATCAAGTTCTTGAATAATAATACGATCCTTATGTTTCAGTTGTTTTATGATGGAATTGAAGAGACTAGTACTTTCGATAATTTCAACCTATTCTACACTTCACATATTTCGTCTTAGTGTTTTGCCTGTATATAGAAAAATTCCGCTCCGAAGATGACAATTATTATTATTATTATTATTATTATTATTATCATTATTATTATTATTATTAAACAACCTTTTATTTATTTATTTTTTTAAACGTGTATTGAGCAGTTTTTAATACTAGTGTTTCCTGGTCTGATTCAAATCTGACTATTATTAACTTATATATATATATATATATATATATATATATATATAATTATTATTATTATTATTGTGCCTCGGTTCTTTTTTTCTTTTCTTATTTTGTTATTGAAAAGTTTGTCAATCCCGCTAGTTGAGAATTTTCTCCATTATACTTAAACATGGCCAATTATTCCACACACTTTAACGAAACCGTCCTCGTTATGACGATAAACTACGTCCAGCAGCAAGGCCTCTGATCAGGAGGTTTTGAGGAGCGTGGAACCACTTCTTAATTGCTGGTGTTCCCAGGTGCACCATGACCCGGGTTGGTAGCCCCTGTTAGGGTTCCAGCTATGGGCAAATAGTTAACACCCAAACTTGTATAAAAATAGGTTTTAATACCAGAAATACTTTGTAAAAAAAATATATATATATATATTACCAGCAATAATTTTTGAAGGAAAAATTATTATCAGCTATATTTAAAAAAAAAGAAATACAAGCAATATAAACAGTTATACATTCTTTGAAAAAAATATAACCAGCTATTGAATTCTTCAAGGAAAAATATTCCCAGAAATAGATTTTTGAAGAAAAACATATTACCAACAATAAATATTTTGTCGGCATAAAATAACCTATTGAGGTTGATATACCGTAAAACAAACCAAACCAAACCAAACTCTAAAAAAATTTTCCTGTTTCTTATTACTATGTTTATTCATTGAAAGGCGTATTTTAAAATTTCAATGCACCTTCGTATTTCGGCGCGTCACATTTTCCATTTTCTGTTATAAAACTTTTCAGATGTTTAAATGTTTGTACTTCCTTAATTTTGACATCACCAATTCGTAGCAGACATCTTGGACTTTTCCTCTTATTGATATCATCATACATTGTGTCGTCTTTCAATTGATGGTTAGTCATTCCTCCTGACTTTCATTTACTGAGTTGTTTAGGATTTTCTGCAGTTTTATCTCTATGTATTTCATTAACATAGTGCGTAGGACCATATCACCTTGAAACACCGGTTCTTGTACGACCACCGAAGTTAAGCAACGTCGAGCCTGCTCAGTACCTAGGTGGGTGACCGCTTTGGAATGCCAAATGTTGTAAGCTTGGATGTGTGTGTAGTATAAGGGCCTTGCAGCCATATCATGTTGAAACACTCGTTCTCGTACAATCACCGAAGTTAAGCAATGTCGAGCCTGGTCAATACCTAGATGGGTGACCGCTTGAGAATGTCAGGTGTTGTAAGCTTGGATGTCCGAGTAGTATAAAGGCCTTACGGACATATAATATTGAAACACCGGTTGTCCTACGATCACCGAAGTTAAGCAACGTCGAGACTGGTCAGTACCTAGATGGGTGACCGCTTTGGAAATCTCAGGTGTTGTAAGCTTGGATATGCGAGTAGTATATAGGCCTTACAGCCATTTCATGTTGAAACACCGGTTCTTGTACGATCACCGAAGTTAAGCAACGTCGAGTCTGGTCTATACTTAGATGAGTTGAGAATATTCCACTTTGGAATATCAGATGCTGAAAATTTGGACGTGCAAGTGATAACGGCTCGGGGTTAGAAATCGGAGGGCCGAGTTCCAATTCCAGTCGGGTTCATTATATTCAGCCACTCGTTTATTTATCTGGGAAATCACCCCTCCCCCCCCAGCAGTTAGTAGCATTTGTAACAGTAAAAAAATTCTTAAAATTTTTTTCTGGCTTTAAATAACCTACAAAAGATTGATAAGCTGTAAAAAACATATTAATTAATCCATTAACGTTGTGACATCTGCATAGGTTATGTTGTTAAGATTGTGCCCATTAATAATAAATCCTTTTAGGACTCCTAGTTCTCTTAGGAATGCCTTACCATATAGGTTAAATAAATCTAGTGTGAAAACATATTCTTGCCTGATGTCTTTTTCTATTCACTAAACCATTATTAACTCAAAAAAATAGTCTTTCAATCTAAAAATAATTTATGACTTTAAATAACCCTCAAAAGGTTGATAAACCGTAAAAATGAATGAAATACTGATTAGCTACAGGCATGTTTTTTAGATTCTGGATTATAAAAATGTAGAAACTAACTTAGTCACAAAATGAAGGTCAGTTTATATATTTATTGTAATATGGAATTGATACCCCACTTTTATCCACATTATAATTTATTGTTTGTTTATCAAATTCTGATTAAATATCAATTCCCCACATCTTCTCCCCAGCTATGGGTTAATTAGTAATTTTTTATCATTAAATCATTATTATCTCAAAAATTATTCTTCCAATCTAAAAATATTTTCTGGCTTTAAATAACCTGAAAAATGTTGATAAACCGTAGAAAATGAATCAATCAGTCTACTTTCTTGCTATGACGTCACCTTTTCGCAACTGACATCTTGGCATGTACCTCTTGCTAACGAGATGTATAGGTGGTGTATTGGAAAGCGGCTAAGAATTAGAAGATGGAAAGCTGATTTCGAATTCCAGTCGAGTCCGTTGCATCCACCTACCCTTGGGAAAGCTATCAATCCAGCTTTGAATGTGGCCAAAATCAGTATATTTTCTCTTCTCTAAATCAGGACATTTTTCAGTAAATTTTCCTTCTCTACTTTTTTAACAATTAAGACCTTGTATGATTGATTTACCCGAACTTATGATCGCGTACCTATGGAAATTTATCATCTGCTTAGCGGATCCTCGTGACTGAGCGAGCATGCCTTGGATATCGCTTAGGCATGATGGTTTTATTCAAAGAGATGTTCTATTGCCTTGATTCCAGTGTAAAACCACATTCAGTAAATTTCTAACTAGAGTGGTTTTTAAACTTTCTATTGGATTAAAACTAATAATAAAAAAAAAGATTCTTTGTGATTTTACGCGAGAAGAATGAAGGTTGAGATATAAACAAATATTTTTAATCCAGGTTTTTTTTCGGCGAGGAATCTAAACTATTATTGGTATTATTGTCCTGTACGATTGTTACTCTTTGTGAACAAGACCAGACACGATAAACTTTGCTCAACCGACATCAAAGAATTATGCGTCACCAGATTGCTGCATCCAACTGATACTTCTTTGGATATTATCCAGAATCTCGGGACATATAACTGAAGCACAAGACCAGATATGGCACCAATATTCAATTGACGGAGAAATGGTAGATTTATAAATGTGTAAGATGGATTCTGACAAGAATAATTGTCTGGCAACACACAGAGAACGAAATTTCTTCGTAGTAGGCTAAGCAATCCACTTCTTATCATTAGAAAATGTAAGACCAATAATGTGTAAGGAGTTGCTCTCTTGGAGGTTAGCATCAGCCATACAGATGGATGACAAAAATAGTTCTCTATGATAATACAAGGATAGCAGTTTCATTTTGGAAGCATTCAAATTTACAAACCAATCCTTGTCCCAGTTAACAACTGACAACTTAAAATAAGAAAGAGACAATTACTGTCTTTATTAAACACATTAACAAAATTATTTGTGTTTACTATACACTCCACACTGCACCATTATTTTGGGGTTTGTTTTTTCTAAGAGAAAATATGGGAAATTGCGAAAAAAGTAACTGTTGGAATAGAAGTGGCGGTTGCATTCAGCTTTTTTAACACCAAATGGGTGGGACCTAAATGCCAATCCAGTAACACACTTAAATTCATATAGTTGAGGTGCCAGGGAAAAATTTTCATCAGAGCAGTTATCATGAAAATATTTGTAGAAAAGACAGAGGGAAGGCCCGTCAGGTCGGTGAGAAAGTGACTGAAGTTCAGATGCTAAGTCAGGATCGATTACATTACAGATCCGTCTTTGGATTTTGTCAAGAATCTCAAGACATACAGCACGAGCACTGGACCATATATATCAACAGTATTCAATACGTGAACGAATTGTATATTTATAAATGTTCAAAATGGATTCTAACAGGAAGAATTGTCTGGCACGACACCGGGAAACATTTTTCTCAGCTGTAGACCCAGCAATTGATTTAATAAAATCACTATACTTCATGTCAGTAAAAAACAAAAAAAAAACGTAAGATTAAGAAGTCGCAATGAATTATTCTCCTACTCATCGAGGGCAAAAAATATTTCTCTATGATGATTGAAGGATAGCACTTATGAAGATTAGACAGTGCTGATGGCAGCCGCGGAAAGAAAATTACAAAATCTCCTGCAGAAGTTAGCGAATTAAAGTCAGAAGAAAGGACTAAGTACAAGAAGACAGAGTGCAGGGTTATTAGCAAAAGGAGGAGCCCAAAATGCAAATTAAAGGTCGGGGGTACTAAAACAAAAGCAGGTAACTGAGGACGGAAACTGTGACACTGAGATCAGAAGCCTTATTGGGATTCCAAAAGCTAAGCACAATATTAAGAAATAGAAAAAAATTCGTAAGGAAATAAAGAAAAGAGTGCAGAACAGTTACGTGATATCTGTCCTCCAATATGGCAGCGAATGCTGGACAATCTCCTCAAAGATGAAGAAAAGAGATGAAGCAACCGAAACAAAGAAAAGAGTACTGAACTGTTACGTGATATATGTCCTCCAATATGGCAGCGAATGCTGGGCAATCTCCTCAAAGATGAAGAAAAGAGATGAAGCAACAGAAACAAAGAAAAGAGTACTGAACTGTTACGTGATATATGTCCTCCAATATGGCAGCGAATGCTGGGCAATCTCCTCAAAGATGAAGAAAAGAGATGAAGCTACGAATTTCTGGTTTTCCCCAAAGATACCATTGCCCGAACATGTGAGCAACGACGAAGTTTTGGAGAAAATGAAAACAATAAGGAAAAATATATTTAACATCAGGAAGAAGCAGTTGAAATTTCTGGGGCACGTAATGAGGAAGGAAGGCTTGGAAAACCTGATACTCACAGGACAGACTGAGGGAAAGAACAAGAGAGAAAAAGCAGCGCGTAACACACTTGATGAGTCGGAGCAAATGGATAGCTGTACAGGGGTTGTGAGAAATAACCAAAAGACAAAACTACAAGGGACATGAAGATGCGGAGAGCCATGATTGCATACGTCCTGAAGGGACACGGTACATAAAAGAAGAAGACTCAGTTAACAACTTATTAGATGTCATTTTCGAGAGGAGCAGTCAGTTTCACTTTGTTGAACGTATCGTACTTAATATTTAGAGAGGCATCTCGGCGTGGTGTAATGGTTAGCAAACTTGTCTCGCTAGATCTTTTACGACTAAAAAGTGAGTTCGATCCTCACTAGTTGCCCTATACTTTCAGCCTTGTGCCATATCTAAGCTACGCTTAGAAAATTATTGTGCAAATTACTCTTTTTGAGTCGGTACACATCTACTTATCATCTTTCAGTTGCGTCTCTGTCCTTGAGCTTCTCTGTCAAGGGACAAAGGGGCGACTGAGAAAATTATACTGAGAGATGTCCATCCCTGGGGAACAGCTGCCCGAGGTCACGCCTTCTCATTGCACTAGAGACAAGGATCGGTGCACGCACCAAGGCCAGCTGGTTGCGGGGGCTCGTGGAATTTTTGTTCCTTGCCCGGGTGCACGCGCTCGGGCTCCCCACATTAAACCGACCTTGTGTCACAACCTGACCTCGTGGGGGGGAGTAAATATCTACTTAATATTTAGAGATGTAGAAATAGATTCTTTATCAGCATCAATACCGAGTAAGGAATTACCTATCAAGTCCGTATCTTTATTTCTGCTATGTTATAATGATCTCGTATATAGTCGTCTTTTTAGCGCCCCATTTATTACAAACTTACCTAGAGTATTAAATGAAGTGAGATAGTATTCCAGAAGCATATAATTACCATAAGTAGCACTGAATAAAAGCCCCGTAGGAAATTAATTTACAAGCAAGACATAGAAATTACATGACTGTTGGCAACTAAAATATCATTATTTACTTTGCATATAGATTTCTAAAATTGCTTTTATATATATATATATATATATATATATATATATATATATATATATATATATATATATATATATATTGAGAGAGAGAGAGAGAGAGAGAGAAAAGCAAGAAAGCAAGGGTCTATAGTTCAAAAACAGTAATTTAAGCTTTTACCAACTATAACACGTCTGGCTATATGTCGGTACCATATAGGATAAAGGTTCGATTCCTGTCGGATGACACATATTTTCTTTTGAAAGATTTCTCTAAAATTCAGGCCAGTAATTTTTGTTTAATACTGTTTATTATAAACAGAGCATTTACTTAAGTATTTGTTCTATCTATAAAAAATATATATATATATATATATATATATATATATATATATATATATATATATATATATATATATATATATATCAAAAGGATAAATGAATACATCATTAAAGGGTCATAATTTATTTCAGACAGACAACTGGCTCATCATACCAGAGTAATAT